ATTCCTCATCCTCATTCCGCCGAGAGTATTGTGGAGTTGAAGGTGATTGTGGTAACCGTGGAGAATGTATAGAGTGTCGTGCTAATTGCGGAGATGAGACGGAATCTCTTGGACTTCTACTCGAAGCCACTGAACCTTTGCTCGAATGAGTCTTCTCAGCCATAGGATTCTTTACTCGTGCATTCTGCATGAGAGTCCCTGTCAAATCCGAAGGAACTACTCCATGTTCAGCTAATTGCTCGATCATGATCTGCTCATCTGTGCTAATTTCCATATGCGCATATAATCGCACCATCATTTTTTGAGTCCACATCTTCATGGCCTCCGCTGAAATCTGTAATTCTTTTTTATTTCCCTTCTTGGCTGCTACCAATAATTCCTGTTGTTCAAGCATTTTAGATAATATAAGTCGAGTCATTCCAACATATGCAATTCTTTGCCCTTCGGTCAAAAGATCTTTAGTGGCTTGCATTTGAGAAAGTGCATCTCGCTGCTCCTCGTCCTCCGCTTCTCCAGCTCCAGTACCATGAATATCCTTAAAAAGGTATTGTGTGTTCTCATCCAGACTTGTCGCAGATTGAGCATCTTCATCGAGTTGTACTCTAGTATACCCTCTACCGGCACCACCCAAACCTGCGTATGCATCACCTTCATCCTCAGAATCATGAGCCTCCCTCGCAATTAACCTATTATCATCATCGTAAATATCGTATGGGGCATAAGCTGGCATTGTTTGCCATTCATCTTCTTCTTGAGGCGGGCTCTGTGGAGCAGGTACTGTGGTATGTTGATGCGACCATTCCGATATTCCCTGAATTGCCTGACTATGTCTGTTGTCCACCGTGCGAACCGCATCTTTGTTGTTGTTGACACTGCTCTTGTCCAAGTCTTCTTTGGATTTTGTTACTTCTGCGGATGCCGCAGGTTCCGAGAATTTCGCCAGATCTTCTTCGTTTGTAGGATCGAGTTCTTTGGTTGTTTCTTGGGGGGCCGGGTGTCCATGGACTGGCAATTCATTATTCTGAGTTGTGTCGCGAGGCCCTTGGAGCTCTGGATTCCGTGTAACAGGCAATAGCGTCTTTTGATCATCCTTAAATTCCCCTTCTCCAGCTGAACCATTAACCTTCGCAACATCTGCCTTCTCTGCATTCCCCTTAGCAACACCCGCATTCTTCAAACCATTCGCTTCAGTTTCA